CATGTAGTATCTATATATGTAATATCAAAGCAATTGAACTATTGGTTTTCAACAAGAAGTCGAAAATATCACTTTTTACCAAAAATGACAAAAATATTCACCAAAATTAGAGAACTGAAGATATCATCACAAAATGAACAAATCTGAGAAAGGTCTACATGTAGTATCTATATATGTAATATCAAAGCAATTGAACTATTGGTTTTTAACAAGAAGTCGAAAATATCACTTTTTACTAAAAATTACAAAAATATTTACCAAAATTAGAGAATTGAAAATATCATCACAAAATGAACAAATCTGAGAGAGATCCACATGTAGTACCTATATATGTAATATCAAAGCAATCGGACTTGCGGTTTTTAACAAGAAGTCGAAAATATCACTTTTTACCAAAAATGACAAAAATATTCACCAAAATTAGAGAATTGAAGACATCATCACGAAATGAACAAATCTGAGAGAGATCCACATGTAGTACCTATATATGTAGTATCAAATCAATTGGACTTGCGGTTTTTAACAAGAAGTCGAAAATATCACTTTTTACCAAAAATGACAAAAATATTCACCAAAATTAGAGAATTGAAGATATCAACATGAAATGAACAAACTTAAGAGAGGTCTACCCAAGGTACATATACACCAAGTATCAAAGCATTCAGGCTTGTAGTTTTCAAGAAGAAGTCGAAAAAGTAAAACATTGACACGGACGACGGCGACGGACGATGACGACGGACAATCACTCATATGATAAGCTCCGCTCGACAAAGTCGACAGCGGAGCTAAAAATGTTTTGGCTGTATTATTAAATGCCTACCATATTGAATGCCCAAACTATTTTTATGTGATATGCGTCAAATCATTGGAGAGAGGACGTCAGCCGGAAGTCTCAATTGCTGTAGATGCTATTCTATTACAGGTCATAGGTTAACATTTTAATCACTGAGCTTACAAGAAAACCTACCAAAAACTCTATTTGCATAATTCAGTTTTATTAAGATTTACTAAACTGCCAGTATTACTGTATCTGCTCTGATCAAAATGCATACAAATTAAAAATTTCATTTGTTGTAGGTTAAAATATTACTAGTTTTGACGATACAAACACCTTTGTAATTCACATAAGACCATGTAAGCTACTAATACATAATTTTTCACTGTATTAGAAGCATATGTCAACATTTTCAACACCAGAATTTCTGGCCCACATTTGTCTGCACTTTCTTTTTAAATTCTTCAATATTTCTGGAAATGAACCTTAATTTTGGAGCCAACAGAAAAAATTTAAGTAAATTTTTAGTTTTTACTAAAAAAATGGCTATTTTTGTCCCAATCTTCTGAAGAAAAGTGCAAACTATAAATAGGACTATTTTGTGAATTTGTGATGAGAGGAGGGAACTGATGGTGAAAAGGTTAAAACTCTGCAGAAAAGAATTCAGGATTTTTCACTTGGGAAAACAGTATTGTCAATCAAATGAGAGTTACAGACAGGTTACTGACATGTACATTCTAGGCTATAACACTATTAACAATACATTATAAATTATGCAAATCCCAAGACATGAACTATTCGAAAGTCATACAACTGTCAGTTACAGCAACGTGCACCAAGTGTTCAGTATTAATAATGATAGATCTTAAGTGCTAATGTCTGCCGAGGACTCGGTAAACGCGAGAGTCACATGACTTGTTTCTGTAGTATTTCATACATGTGTCCTGCGTTACCTTAACCTATGTAAACATCGTATTTTTTTAAACAAGCGTCTGTTTGCATATTAGGTCAATTACGAAGTCACAAGTAAACAATCTCACATCATTCAATGAAATATTATATTTTTATCGTTGCGTGAATTTAACATGTGCATGTTGAAAACAGATGGAGGTCGTTCCCTAGGCATCGGATAAGTGTATTTAAAGGTCATTTGCAAGCAATTCAAAATAATAAGTATCGAGAGAGGGGAAAAATTTACAATGTTTTGACATCAACTTTACCCAGCACAAAATATTTATACATGTATGGGAAAAATCCAAAAATGAACATTCCAAAGGAATCCATTTTTAGAAATACAAATAGTATTTGTCAGAATTTACTAATAATTCCTGACAAACACAAGCACCTATTTTATAATTACATACATTTTTTTAATCCTGTATAACCAAACAAAGATTGATCTGTTTACCATAGAAAGCAATGGTAAATGGCTAAAAATCACCATTTTTATTGATGTTTGACTTGTGTTTTTAGCGAAAATCAGTTCAATGACCATATTTATATTTGGATTTTATCATCAAAAACAGCATAAAACAAAATCAGACAAACTGGTTGAATGGCAGCCAACTATAAGTCCCTCAATGCATAATACCATTATTAATATTATTAGATCTTTTATACCTATAAGTAACTAACACTTTACATTACAGATATAATATTTTATACTCACTATTGAAAAATCCATAACTTTGAGTATCCATATTGTGAGCGCTAAGTTGACAATTATCGTAACCATTAAAAGAAGCACCAGTAAATAAAGGCATCGTTTTCTCCAACCATAGATACCGATTTTATAAATGACAGTCGCTTCTCTGTTATTTGGAGTGACAGGAGTATAACTACTCCCACTGGCTCTGCCCCTGCCTCCCATTCTGATAACCTGTCAAAACATACAATAGATTAGATAATTAGAAACAGCACATAAATAATAACAGGAATGATGTATTTATTTATTTATTTATAACTTTTCTTACCATCTGGTACACATTAGGAAATTATATTAGAGTAAAATTCACCAAAAAGTGAATGGTATATACAGTGTGGTGGACAAATTGATGTACATTGGTGTTTTGGATGGGTACTTATATTATAATACCATACACTACCCGTTATTGAAACGCTGCATTCTCATTGGTTGATTGGTACCACATGCAGTCCTGTTTTCAGACGATAACAGGGCAGTGCTTGAGGTCAATTCAAGAGCATATGGACAAGACTGTGTCACTGTTTTCCAACATTTGTATGGACAGTTTAACCGTTTCACCACCAGACATTCTCACCCAAATTTGTCTGCACTTTTCTTTTTCTTCAATACTTCTGGAAATGAACTCCATGTAACAGACAAAATTTGAAACAATTTTCTATTTTTGCCCCAATCTTCTGAAGGAAAATGCAGACTATAAATGGGAACTGGTGGTAAAAAGGTAAACAAGAAAAGCACAATTATTTGTTCAGGTTTTTTACTATTAAGATTTCTTAATTTTTTTCATTTTCATCTGGTAATTTATGTGCAAATGTCAATATAAGCGTCTTTTTCCTTTTTCTCAAGCTACCACTGTTCCTATGTTCAATTGTTGAGAATTCATGGTAATATAATTGAAATAAAGACTCCACAATGGCCATTATTAACTTAAATTAAGTGATAACTTGGTTTGGATGATGACTAGGCTTGGACGTGTACATGTGTACGTCTCACCAATTATTGTGCACATCCCCGTACTTGCTCTGTTATCACACATTGATGGGCATCCTTCATTCCCTGAATGTAAACGTGATTTAATTGACAAGACAGATTTTTTCACAAGTGAAAGAAAATTGTTAATGTTGTAGCAGCGATCATTTTACTGGTACTTCAACAATTCACAAAAATTACTAGTAGCAACCACAGTATGCTAACACCAATAAAAATGAGTAAAACAGTCACTATTGGTCCAAGCTTTTTATTTCAAGACATTTGGACTATTGATGTGAGTGGGCATGATAAATGCTACACAGTTTCCATGTATAACTCATCTTAGTTGTGCATGATAACATGTTCATAGAGTATCTAGTTTCAAGGAGTGTTCCACAGTTGCCATGTTACTGTACATGCTCTCAACAGAATGGGAGAAGGAAGGGGGAGGGGCGATTTAACAACAGGTCATTCATGAGCACCAGCACCATGTTTGCACCAGATGAATATCGTACATGTTAGTATGTTGTCCCCCCTAAGTACAGGGGTAAGTACAGATACAATAGGGATGTAAATGATATTTTGTCCATATTTCACCATGAATGAATGAATGAATCATTTTTTATGAAAAGTTTGCGAGCTTTCAAAGTAATGTTGCATTCATATAACACAGAATCAATATGTGCAGTACAAAATTTAAGTTGGTATAGTAAAATAGCTACCTAAAACTGCTGACCGGAAATGAATCTATCGGTACACCGATTCAACCTCATTTTATGCACATGGTAGCCAAGCAGTCAGTGGAACTTTGGAAACCCCAAACGAGTCTATTAGATTTGCAAGCGTGGAGCTGACATGCAATACAAGTCTAGACATGCATACTTACTTCAAATAATAGAAGTACATGTGTGAGTAATATGGTGTAACCACATTAGATTTATTAAACGTACATCTGCTGTTCTTTCAATACTAGATTGGTACATTTCAATACGAATATGTAAATGTAAATCTAATAGACTGGGTTGAAATTGAAAACTGTGAACTATTTTCATCAGTCGATTTTTCACAATATGTTACCTTGACGACACCAGTGAATGACAGTCACTGGGACTGGTTGTCTTAAATATCCAATTGTGTGATGTCCCTGACTCATAAAATTTGAGAGCATTTGTCCCTTAAAGCTACAATGCGGAAATAAAGTGCACTGGTTGATTTAGACAACACTGTCTGTCGTTTGTAATATCACCAGTACTAATTGTATGTACTGTAGAATCATTAAAGTTTGTGCATTTTTTATGTAGCATAATTTTACAGCCTTAAGAATCAAAATCAAAACTATCGATAACAATGATGCTTCTCAGTAGAATCCAACCATCAAATTAAGATTTAGGAACACCAAATTTTCATGTGTTTTGAATTCCACGATTTTTGCTTGTGAAATTAAAAACATGCAACATGCATGTTAGACACAAATACATTTCATACGGGTCTACTGCACCAATAAGCAGTTTATAATCGTGAGTCTGAGGGACTAAGCACGGGAATAAGTCACTAATAAAGTCATAGATTTATATTAAATCCCAACCCTGCATGGAATGACATACTTTGAGATACAATGTGGAAAGAAGTGATGATAAAACTACATGTAAGGAATGTTGATCCTAAAACCAGCCATCCATGTGAAATTAAGAATGGTTAATGTACTGAAGATAAGACAGCACTCATTTCATACCCAATAGACACACTGTAACACAAATGTAAACAGCATTTACTCCATTATAAGTGCACATGAACCAAAAAATTGCAGTAACGCATGCTGAGCTCTAAAGTCAACTCCAGATACCATTCTCTAAATAGTCTTTGCTCTTTCCCATTTGAATTGTTGCCAAAAATTCAAATTTTCCACCAAAATGTAACAGCAATGACATTTTTTGTCTGTTTTGGTTCTAAATTAAAATTAAATTCAGTGAATATTACAGAAAATGAGAACAAATTTACCCACATTTATGCGGGAACAAAATTTGGTGTTCAAATAGTTAAAAATAAGACTTATTTTGACACATATACCCCTGCCAACTTACATATGCCAGAGAAACGGTTGATGGCATTAATTTTTTCTCTAAAATCTGAAAATAACTGAAGAATGTGCAACCGCATTATGTCCTTCCTTCTTACATGTACCAAATTTAAATAATATCTGTAAACAGGAGAACATTTGTAAAAACCAAAATGGCAAATCATGATTTAAAATAAGACGTACCAGTAAACTACCATGTGTGATGTCAATGCCAAGTTTGAATGTTAACAACATGTTTAATTGTTGATTTTTGGACAAAGATGGCTGTCAGTCGGTCATTAATCAATGTAACAAAAACAATTTAACATGTACATGTATAAACACATGACTTGGTACCAACATTGAACAAAATTATTATGTAGTTTTCTTGATTTATTCTCCAGATATCGATAAAATATAGGTAAGGCTTTTGAGAAATTTGAAAGAGCAACTAATATTCTTCAAGATGGTATTTTTTATAGATTTTATTTTTTATTCTGTACGTCTGTTTTTTCCAGTTTAAAAAATATGAGCTCGCTGAAGACTTCATTCCTTGTGCATTTCTTATACTGGATACCAGCCGATATCCCCCCCCCCCCTCCATAGAGACTGCGTACAGTTGATTATAGTTCCTGGGCTCCCTGTGCTCCCAACAGGGATTAAAATAATATAAACTGTTGTGACAGATTTTTACAAATTTCACAAGTGAGAGAAAGTCATGAATATTGTAGCAGTGACTGCTAGTATTTCAGTGACGAGACTTTCACAAATTACGCACATCAAAAACTAAGCGGTTCACATCACGTTCTCGTCAAGGACATCTGTTGTACTGATTGCTTTAAACAATGAGTAAAGCAGTCATTGGTTCATATAAAACGGACTGACAAGAACATCAGGCAATGTACAGATAATGTATCATGTATAGCATTAATGTTTAACATCAATATTAAACAGCAGGCAGTAAGGGACAAACCAAAAAAAATAGTGAGGGCAAAAATAGCACAACTAGTGAGTGAATGTCATGAGAAGTATTTCTATCAAACCACTATCCCCTCAATGGTTTATAAAACCCTTCAAAACACTCCCATCTATTCCCCAGAGGTTGATGAACCCATCCTAATTAGACAATCATATTAGAACCGACTGATTAGTAAGTAAGCACATTATCCTGGTTACAAATTATACCTCACATTATACCATACTGTGAATTAAATTACTGCTAATTTTATCTCATTCCAATGTATAATACTCTGAGAAGCAGAAACATGATACGATATGATTTACAAGAACCGTTTAACTGATACAAATGTAGGTAAAGGACAGCTATGAAGATGCTAGGGATAGTTAACACCTTTTGTAAAGAAAGACAATGGGCCAACGATATGCAGAGATCACACCTGATTCACTTACGTGGACTACTAGTATTTTGATTTCAAGCACAAACTACCAGCTTACATGTAGCTTGATCAGTTAAGTGAACAAGTTCCAAACATAGCTCATCAATCTGAAAATCATTGATTTGAATCCAGGGGTGTCTCTGCTCTAAAAGTGTCCCATTTTTAAATATTGTGCTGGATGTTGTACTCTCTAGGATTGTGTCATAAACAAAGCAACGAGTAAACTGGCACTTTTCTAGTAAATGCATAATTATCCGTTATCAAAGTTTAGTGGACTATTAAGACAAAAAGTAATATTACATACAATAAATATTCATTGTATCAATTCCCAAACTGGGTATTACAGGGTAATAAATTATGTGCATACCTCAGTGAACATAAGATCAGAAGCATGGTATCCACCTTTCTATAATACATGATGCAATTATTGGTTTGTATGTGATAATGTGCACTTTTAACCTTTTGAGAGCGAGCTATTTTTTCCCACAAAACTCAGTGCAAATATTTTCACAGACAGTTTTAGATATTGCTTCTAGTTTTTAATCAATTTTTATCAACATTTTAAGTTAACGTTTATACATGTATCAAGAGTGTTTTGCAGAATTATCACTTCAGTGGAAATAGCGAAAATAAATTCCAAGCCAAAATATAGTATTTTCAGGTACTCCGGTGGCCTAAAACAATTACAACTTGACAAGGCACTCTTGACAATAAGAAGTTCCCAAGATGTCATTATCTCCAACCCAACCAAACCC